GCCCATCCCTCCGGTGGGGAACCCGCTGCTGCCCCCCGTACCCCACATCTGCCCATGGGGGAAAAAGGGGCTAGGGCGGGGTGGGAGGTTCTGCTGCCCGCGCCGTGTGTCCATCACCTGCACCCCCCAGTGTCCATGGACACCAACCCCACCGCCTCGCGGGTCACACCTCATCTGGCTAATATAATTACACTTAATAATTACACTAATGTAATTACACTTAACCTGGTCTGGTGGGAGGTGTCCCTGCCCATGGCAGGGGGGTGGAATTAGGTGATCTTTAAGGTTCCTTCCAACCCAAACTGAAACAAAGCTGAAGGACATATGGTTCCCTCCCTTGAGCAATACAGCCGAATTTCAGGATGTTTTACTGATAGGTCAAACAGGTGCTATGCTTCGGCAGATAAAAGGAAGTCTTCAGACACAGTATCCTTGAATAGAGTAGACAAGGAGCATATGCTAGAATGAGCTAGTTTTGTGTAATTAAGTGTCGTCTAATTAAGCCAAAGCACAAACTGAGCACACGCAAAGACTGAGTTCAATCAGTGGACATGGTGCAGAAGACTATCGACAACCACCAGAGAGCCCTGGAAGACCACCAATAGACATAAATGTGCATGTGTCAAGGACATTTACATATATTAATGAGTTATGGGAAACAGTACGAATATGTTAATCATTTATCAGAAATCTAATGAATACGTATATTTTGATTGCATATAATCTTTGCAGTTGAGCAAGTGGGTGCGCACCCTAGGTAGAGCGATCCCCTGTGCGCCTGGCGCTGCAATAAAGGATGCCTGCTTTCCCAAACTCCTAACTCAGTCTTAGAGAGTTATCTTTTTGCCAACTTTTGGTATCAAAAACACTCTGATTTTGTGATTCTATTATTACCTGAAAAACCCAAAAAGGGGAAACAAAGTGATGCTTACCATGGGCTCCAGCTGATCTCCACAACATCTGCTTCGACAGAAACCCCATTCCAGCAGGATCCACTGCTGCAGCAGTCTCTCGTGGAGGTCACAGCAAAAGGGGCTTGTGGTTTTGGGGGTTGTTTCTTTTTCCTCCTTGCTTTAAAAAGAGAAGTGATGACACAACCACATACACGGTTCAGTAGCACTGACAGCACAGCTCCTTCACACCAGCACCTTCACACCAGACAACGGTTTGGAGCATGGGATGGGGAATCATATATTTGGTAGTCGGGTTCCCACATTCCTCCAAGCATTTGGCTTGTGGGAGTTTTGAAGTGGCTTAAGCCCACAGCCACGCCACTTTTTTTGCCCACGATGACGCCCAAAGAGAAGTCCGGGCACCAACCTGGAATACGGGTTAATCCACAAGCTCATCCCCGCTCCATCAGCAGAGCAGCCACAACACGTCTCTTGCACAAAACACACCTACCTGCTTTCACCACTGGAAAAAAAAAAATTAAAAAAAGCCCTGTGCCAGACAGGTCAGGAGGGCGACAACCCGGCCCAGGTTTATGTAGCTGAGGTCACAGAAGTTTGTTTGCATGACACCAGTCTCACATAAAGCCACTGGTGGTCCTGGGCACTTCAGGTCACTGTTTTGGCAAAGCTCACCAGACACCCAGGGTTGCACGAGTGTGGGAATTGGCGCATTGGGGTCACCACGTCCCTCCAGCACCCACCGCCCTGTGCCAGCCTTGCTGGACACAGCGAGCTGCAAACCCCCTCCCCAACCCCAAGAACCAGTGGCTGCTGCCCACCCCCCCTCTCCCGCCCGGAGACCCAAATGACGCCAGCCTTGTGTCAGGTGCCACCACACCCCCAGACCTGTGGTTTCAGGAAACGAGCCCGGACAGCACATTCCTGCCACGGGGAAGAACTTTTTTTTTTTCCTCATTCTGGGTTCTGCCCTAACAGGGCTCTTTCCCAGACACTCACAGACATCAGCTTTGGGCGCACAGGGAGCCCTCAGGAGCAGGGTTTTATGGAAGGTGCCATAAAGGCAAAGCCTCGCTAAAACACCGGGGGAGAATAACCACGCTGCCAGTGCCTGCTTCAAAAAACCAAGAGCTCCTCAAGCACAGCCCCGTTCTAGGGTTTCTTACAGATCAACAGACCTGGCACAAACCAAAAAGGTCAACCAAAGCAAAGCTAAAAGCAACTGAGGCCAGGCTGCCATGCCGGGTCAGTGTAAATAAGGAGAGAAGTGTGTATTTAAATGTTTTTTATTTCAACTAATGCTTTGCCACCATATTACATCACTTCGAATAGCTTGGAATAGCAATATGATCTCAAAATATAGCAAACAGCTTGCCAAAGCAAGATAATATTAAATCCTATGGATACAGCATCTTTCTTCTTTGGCGACAACGCTTCCTTTTATCTGTAAAAATAGTTTTATGTTCCAGAACATTTGCTGTTCAGTTTATTGAGCCCTGCTGTTTATAACATTTGCCTCTTCCCTGCACAAATCCTCCCCACAATGTAGTACGGTTTTATATCCAACAGCATTTTAAATAAAAAAAGTTATAGTTTTCATGCAGATTTTTGTAAAAATTATTTTCTAGGGGCACAGAACTGAACCAAGATGCATACAAAAATGCATTCACTTCCATTCTCAGGTGTAACCACGCCATCAGCAACACAGTATCGTATGTTACTGCGAGAGGTCCAAGGATGGTGGCATTCTCATATATAGTATAACTTTAAAAAAAAAACAACAACAAACCAAAACAAAATAACCAAAAAAACCCTTTTTATAAGCAGCAAGAGAAAAAAACTGCCATGCTGTATTTGTAAAGTAATCAAAATAGTTAGATGTATAAAAAAGCACCATGTACAGAGAATACCAGAGGAAGATCCATCTTCCTAATTACGTTTCTCATTTAGCATTGCGAGCTGGCCTGCAGGTCCCAACTTGTACTGTAGCTTTATTTGCAAAGCTAAGGAAGGGGTCAAACCTAGAATATGCTTGGACCGTATGATAGAAATTAAACTGGACTGCAGAGAGAAATTAGATTCTTTTTTCCATTACAACTCATACCAGCCACCTTATAGCCCTCAGGGGTAAAAATCACCCACGCCCCAAGTATCTCAGAAATAATGGGGTAAAAACACAGCTCCAGAGCGGTATTGCAAGCTGCAGGTCTGTTATGAATGCATTTCTGTGAGCTCTTGGTAAGTTAAACTTTCCTTTGGGAAAAGAGCACGTCTGTTGGTTAAAACTCCTCTCCCTGAGAATTTTGATAAGAGTTTGTCTTGCAAAGCAAAACAAAGTCCTTTTGAACTTCAACAGTTCCTAGGCCAACAGCATTTCAACGTGGTCACAGCTGATCTGCTACTCATGCACCCAGGGTGGCAGGTTGGGTTTTTGTTGCGTTTTCTTGGTTGTTTTTTTATTTCCTTTACATGGATCAACCCTTTTATACTCGCTTCATTCCTCTGCCCATCAAGCAGGCGAACACGGTCATGACCATCTTCGGTTTCACCTCCACGAGGTCTTCTGGAAGAGCATAAACTCTGGCACCAATTCTTCTTGCCATGGACACAGCGTACCTGTTCACCACGGAAAGAGGAGTGGGTCAGCACCGAGGCTGCTACCAATAAATGACAAGTCAGCCCCTGCCCTATCCTACACAATTTCACCTATTATCCTCCTTATTAAGATTCAAGATGTGCAACAGTCCGATCACACCACATCTGTTTGTTTTATAAATGGGTTTTTTTTAATCTTTTGATGTATTCCTTTTCCACAGTAGAGAAAAGTGTCTGATGGGCAAACTGACCTTTGAACGTCAAGTTCCCTTTACCAATAGTTTTAAAAAAAATGTAATTAATATTTTTAAGGGCTAATAGATAGGATGTCTAACCAAGGATTAATCAGTTAATGTTTAAATTTCCCCTTCTGTTTGCTCTTTAGGAATAATCAAGCGAGACTATTATCGGCAAGAAACTTTGCTGTCATTCCGCCACTGCAGAGCTGTCGCAGAACACACATTTCAAAGGCATGTTCTAATGGGCATACCTTAAACTTGACAACCTACGATGATTCAGCGAGACACGAGACACACAAGAGTTCCGTTTCAAAACCCTGAGCACTTCCACACGCCCGAACAAACAGGTGAGAAACAGAATATCACTGCTAAGAGCTGCTTGGGCTGTTCTGCCGTTCTCTCAACAAGCGAGAGAGCGCAGCCAACTACTCCCTCCAGCGTTGTGTATGAGGACAGCAATTAGACTCCAAGAAGTGCTGCCTGTCTAAAAGGTATGGCGTTAAGAGATTGAAAACCACAGTAATAAACTGTGGGAAAAACTTTCGCAGCTTAAGGCCAGCACACAGAAGGAGCACTCTTTCAATGCAAAACAGCTTTTGAGAGAGCAAACTTACTTAGCGTTATTTTGTTTGTCATCTTCCGATAAATGACCGGTCTTTACAAGGTCATAGTTGATACAACCAGGCTGTATAGCATCAATTAAGTCCACGACTGCCAAGCTTGTGCTGATAGTCTTGTCCTAGAGAACACAGGGACAGAGAAGCAAAGATGAATGTCTAATCCGTGAAGCATACTTCTCACCTTGATTCAGCTGCTCTGCAATGTGCAACAAAACAAACTCTACACAAGCCGTTTCAAAGCAGCCGTGGTAGCGATTATTCCTAGTTGGACCACAGGGAAACCCAAACTGCTGCTTCTCCTTTGGTAACAGTACAAAAGCATCACTCCAATTTCCCCCAAGCGCTCTGCAAATCAAAAGCAGTAAGCGCTGTGCAGGCAGCAGGTCTGCCTTGCTGCCCAGACCCCAAGGGACACCGCTCACCTACCGACGCTCGCCAGCTCCAGCCCCTGTGCTCACCAGCATCTTGCCCCCACCTCCGCCCCAGCGCCTGTCCACACTCCCCTCCTCTGCCACCCCACCAGCTCCCTCACCCCACTGCTATTCCCCACCGAGAGCAGTCCTAAAAAGTCTCCTCTCTGGTGGCTCGAAGCCACTTTGTTCCCAGCACAGGCTGAACCCTGTCCTGTTTGAACCCCTTTTTAAGATGCTCCTGCTCTTCCTCCAGCCAAGGAACTGATTTTTGGGCATCCCTCTCCTTTTGGATGCAAGAGGGGAACCTGCACCTTGAAGTTCTGTATGGAGGTGGACTTGCCAGCTTCTTTCAGGGTCTGGTTTACCCAGCTGACTATAATGTCATCGTTAGCTTTCTGACCGTCACCCAGGTCCTCCAGGACATTCAGCGTGTACCTGAGAACCAGCAGAGAGAAGAGGATTAGGCAGAGAGCCTGGGCAAAGCCTGGGTGAGCGTGTGGCCAGGACGCAATGTGAGCCCATGGCAGCTTGGAAAGTCTTCACATAGTATCAGCTCGGGGGTTTTTGGGGGTTTCTTTTTGTTTGTTGGTTTTTTTTTTGTTTTGTTTTGTTTTTTTAAACTCCTCCAGCAAAAAGGAATAATCATCTATCTTATCTGAAGTATGATTTCTGTTAAAGCATTTAGTCTCTCTAGCCTTTCAGGTTGTTTAACATTATCACAAAATTGCCTGGGCTTGGGACACTTGTTAAACAGTTTCACCACTGACCATTTGCTCCATCAGGTTAACACATTACCCAAAAGGTGTGGATCCACTCATGGGTTAGCATTCTGAACTCTAATGCCAAATAAGGAGCTATTTGCATCATCTTAAAATTCTTCAGAAACAGATAAGAAAAAGGGTGACAAACTTTATCTGTTATTAAGTTTCCCTTTCCTCCCATTCCAATGCAGAAGGGGGTTACAGAGCAGCCCTGGAATGTTTCCCTCTCAATTTCCAATTAAAAGTTAGAACATAAAAGTTGTGTAAACGTTCCTGCTAAGGGTTTCTGCACGTGGACCAGACTTGAGCAGGTGAGAGAGAGGTGATCCTGCTCAGCGGGACGCTCACAGACCCACCAGTGGGCTTTCCATGGGACTCTGCTGCAGCCTCCCGTGTGCAGCAGGATCAGCTCTGCCACGGTTTTGTCCAGCTGCGTCTCAGAAACCCCCTAAGGAAAGAGTTTTTACAATCCTTCTGGGTGACCTGTTCCAGTGCTGCAGTGCTCTCATGGCAAAAAACCTTCCCAAACTCTGTACTCCATTCACAAGTTTCACGTGTTGGAGCTGGGTCCTACCTTCTCATCAACTGCCAGACTAAGGCCAGTGTCAGCGTTGGGTTTCCGTCATTCAGATCCTGTCCTCCAATGCCAACCAGGGAGAATTTAGCCGGATGCTTTCCCAAGTCTACAGCGTAGTTACAGTTTTCTAGCTACACAGGAAAAGAGGTTAAGCAGAAAAATCACTCGCAAATACATTCACTTGACTGGAAGCCTCATATTTTTAGTGTCCACAGCTTCTTTTAAAGTCTTTTGAAATTCTTACCTTTTTCATATTTGCTCCAAGCTTAGGGTACGGAGGTTTGTTAACCTTATTCCAGTCAACAGGAACTTTGATCTTTTCATATAACTGTAGTATTACCAGTGCATCTTGGAGATCGCTAAAGTGGAAAACATTGATTAAGCTTAATGCCTCAAGATTCAAACGCACTCTGACTTTGTCACATCGTGAATAATCACTCCTCTTTACAGGTTGCTGCCAATTTCAACAACCCTCAAAAGACAAAAAAATTCAAAACATTTTGCAGTTTTCAAGGGTGGAGAAATGCTCCATTCTCAACGTTAGCTGCTGAGCTAAAGCAGGTTTTAGCATGGTAATCAGCAACAGATCCAGGGAAGAATTATGCTACATAAAATCCCAAGGTGGCCAACTCACTCCACTGAATACAGGCACCCAGAGTACTTTGCCTCCTAACTATGACGTCTTGGTTAAGCCCTAAAATTAGGTGACAGGGAATTTATTTCCAGTTGCTCGAGCAGATCTATGTGCGTTGGGGTCTCAGGACACCAATTTACACAAGATAGAGGAAAATAAACAAACTGTCTTCAGCTCTTAAAGCCAATTGCTGGTGTGTCAAGTGCTGACTCGGAAACCCCTAGGCTACGGGGAGGGTACAGCAAACATCTCCCACTCTCTACCACAGCCCTTTCTCCAGCTCTTTGCTCGGCACTGTGGGCAACAGGACACTGGTGCAGGCACTTTCCGGCCCGACCCAGCTGGGTCTCTCCCAAGAGCCTGGCGCTTACCCATAGAGGTGATTTACATGGGGGTTCACCCCAAGGGAGTTCATCCAGTTGCGGAAGGTCCGTTCCTCACGCGTTTCTCCTAGATGAAAGAAAACAGGTTCATGCAAATTCTACAAGCTCAAAGCTCTGCAGGGTTTTCCACCTTGCAAGGCAGGGAGCTTTGAGCAGCATAGCTCATCAATGACGTTTTCAAGCAGGAAAAGGGTATTTTTTCTACTATAATTTTTTCCAAGGGAGACGGTTGCCCTAATATCTAGTTTTGGATATCAGTTTGATTTCTCCAGGCCTCAGAAGAACATGCCTATTGCACTTTCTGCAAGAAAAAATAGCACAAAGGTGTTTCAAATGGGTGTTAGCTAACTGCTCTCTGGGAGGCAGGTAGCCAAAGCCCTAATCCCAATTCTGCCAACAATTAGTGCTCCCATGAACATCTCGCTGCATTACTGAGGTGCTCCTGCCCGTCACAGGGAATGGCAAAATCGGCTTCCCAGCCCTGGCATGGGGGCTGTTGGGGCAAGTCCAGAGGAGGCCCCAGAGATGCTGGGAGGGCTGGAGCCCCTCTGCTGGGAGGACAGGCTGGGAGAGTTGGGGGGGTTCAGCCTGGAGAAGAGAAGAGAAGGCTCCGGGGAGACCTCAGAGCCCCTTCCAGTGCCTAAAGGGGCTCCAGGAGAGCTGGGGAGGGACTCTGGATCAGGGAGGGGAGTGACAGGACAAGGGGGAATGGTTTTACACTGAAAGAGGGGAGATTTAGATGAGATATTAGGAGGAAATTCTTTGCTGTGCGGGTGGTGATCCCCTGGGGCAGGTTGCCCCGAGAAGCTGTGGCTGCCCCATCCCTGGAGGTGTTCAAGGCCAGGTTGGACGGGGCTTGGAGCAACCTGGGCTGGGGGGAGGTGGCCCTGCCCAGGGCAGGGGGGTGGAACTGGATGATCTTCAAGGTCCCTTCTAACCCAAACCATTCTGTGATTCTATGATGACTGACAGGCTCCTGGCTGCGCTCTAAAGGTTCAGGCTCCACATCAGGGTCAGAGCAGCTGAACAAATTGTCAAGTACCCTCAAACAAGTAAACCACCACTGCAGTACTGAAGCCTCAAGTCATAGGTGTTACTCCAATGGAGATACATCCACTGGGCACAGCGTGTTGTGACACAAGTGTTTACTTCAGATATTTCCCTCCTGCTAATTTTGTGACTGATACGGCCGTCACCTTCCAGTAGGGTCCAGTCGATGTCCTGGTTTTCAGGCTTGGTAAGTGCTGGGTACTTGTTGAACAGGTTGGCAACAAAGGCCAGGTTCAGTTTGGGATTGCCACTGACCACATCAGCCGGTGTGACGAACTGCCGGCAGCCCAGCCGATCTGCCTGCTGAAGCATGTACTCTGCTCTCCGCAAATCGTCCTTTTCCTGCCGGGGATGCAACAGACAAGAGCTGTCATGGAAGAGATTGGGCTACAAAGCAGATAGGAAGCTCCTGACTGCTCCCTGGGGACACGTCACAACTCCACCTGCCTTCGTTAGGCATCAGTCGCTAATCAAATCGATGAATGCACACTAATCCCTGCTGCTGTGGATGAAATTATCCCAGTTTGTCTCGGTATTTTTCCTAGCATGGCCCTTTCCAAGTTTATAAGCTTTACAACTTTTATGCCTTTTGAAGTTGGTGGTTCAAAAGCAGAAGTCAGCATACTCCCAAACGGAGCAAAGCCACAAATGATTTCTCAATCACGTATGTTAATTGGCAGGTAGTGATCAGGCCTGCATCAATCACTCACTTAGCACATACCCGAGGTGCTCGCACACCCACTGACACTTTACACGCTCTAGAAATTAAGATACCAGGTTACCTAGATGTCATCGGGCAATTACAGGGTACAGGTAGTTCGCGATTGTACAGCATGAGGACGCGACAGCCTGAATACTTACGTTGAAACCCGACATGTTAATATCGATCTGAGGCTCTCCTTCTTTCTGCCCTTTAGGTGCAATTTGATTGAGGAGGTGGAAATAAGCTCTGGAATCCTGAAATGGATGAAAAAAAAATAATTCAGGTCTCCTGCACAGCAGTGAATACACCATAAAAATGCATTTCAGGCTCATCTTTACCAAGTCGCTGTGCATAATTGGCTTATGTACCTTTACTGAATTACCGAAATCTGTAAGCTTAAAAGAGAGCATGATGGCAGAAATCCAGGCAGCAGAAAAGGAAACAGAAAGGGAAAAGGTTAGAAATATTTAAGCTGAAAACCAGGAGGTTTAAGTGTTTGAAAGCTGCCCTTGCTATAAGCTCTGGTGTCACAGCCCCCTCTCCAATGGCTGGAGGAGGCAGTGACCCCACACTGCTCACTCTCACGGCCCCCCCAGCCAGACACCCCAAGGCAGCCCGAACCCCTATTCAGGGCAGCCAATTCCTACTGCTACAGCAACGATGAAAACGGCTCAGCGAAGACAAAGTCTGGGCAAAAAGCTGATTATAAGAACTCTGAATGTTTTCTCCTGTGCCCACCCATCAGCTAGAACAGCTTAAAGGAGAGAGGCCAGGGATGGTGACAACCTAGGAGAAGCAAATACCTGCACTAATTATTTATCAACTACAAATCTTTTTAGCCCTCAGCACTAGGAAGGACCTCAGCATATCCTGGCAGCCTGTGGGTTGCATCAGAGAAGCCAACAGCTATCAGCAAAGCTGTAAGCAATTTGGAAGTTGGCACCAAGAGTGACCATGTGTGTGTGCACACATGCACACACTCGGGGGAGCTCCGTGCTCCCCATGCACCTCAATTATCTTTTATTTTTTTCCACCTCAACAGTGCTTTAACCTGGAATCCACTTCAATCCTCCTTCTCCTCCTCAAAACTGTTGACCATGTGTATAAGCTCCAGAAACCTGCCGAGATCAGTGTCCAAAAACCCCACACTGACCAGCAGTTGCCACCCTCCATTTCTCACTAATGCTGAGAGGAAAGAGCCACCCCCTCACATCTGAAAAATAGCTGTAAGACTCCCCGCTCCCATTTCTACTCAGCCCAGCGTGGAGAATAAGAGATCTTGTTTCCCTTCCTCTCTCCAGCCCATGACGTTTTGGATGAAATGTCATCACCAGCCAAATGTGAGGAAGTCAGTCTCTCCAGGGATGCAGTTACGGATTTCACCCTATCTGAGCGAGCTGCATGCCCTTGAAAAATTATTTCCATCAAAAAGGATGTATTGAGAACATTTGAAAACACATGAGTAATACCGGTTTCCTACTCGATTAAAACATGCAATAGCTTTGCAGCAGGACCCCACTAGCACTGGAGGAAACACTCTTACAGCTCAACACTGGGTTCAACATCATGGCAAGAGAGCGCAGCACTGCAGTACCTTAAATATACCACCCGTAAAACCCCTGTTAAGCCCACTCAGTCTATTAAGGTTAAGAATGGTCCTGTCTGCGGAGGAAGGGCCTCATTTATACATGCTAACACATCCCTGGCCGGGTCCCAGCCTTTTCCCAGGCACATGCAGCCCGGGAGAGCTCTCGGTACCTTGATATCCGAGCTGAAGTTATTGATTTTGTGCCAGCCTGCGTTTTCCAAGTGGTAGTTGGCCCATCTTAGGAGCAGCTCTTCTGGGGACAGCTTCATAAGGTCCTCCAGATTTTCACCATCACGAAGTAAGGCAGCCAGTGCTAGAAGAAAAACACTTGTGAGGGGAAGGAAGGAGTTTTCAAGAGGTGCATGCCAGAATTAGAGCTGCAGCAACATTTCAGGGGGAGAAGGGAGGGACAATACCAACTGTTGATTAAGTCAAAATACTCTGGGCATTAGTGGAGTTTTCCCAAGTTGGCTGTTACACAGAGAAGAGTATGAATGATCTAGAAAACTGTGTCTAAAAGATATTTTCCATTTTCTTGCATAACAAAATTTTCTGGATTTTATGTGCAGTCTTTTAAGCTGATGACAGTAAGCTAAATGTAAATGAACTTCTATCTCAATGAAAAAGTGCTTCCAAGCAGTTTCACGTGCACTGTTAAAAAAAGCCAGAAGAGCCAAGATAAGCACCCTTTCAGCAGTCTGGTGCTTTCCTTGCCATGAATTTTCAACCTAAGCCAACCATTGGTACCCCTTCACAACTGGGAAGTTTAAATAACAGACACGGAAGCCCCTCCATCCGTCTGGGTGCTCTGATAGCCCATGTAGCAATAGCAGGGCTCTTGGAACGGGGTGAAAAGTTTAAATTTTGGAGGTCATCGTGCAGGGCCAAGCGAGCACAGGGGGAGAGCTGCAGCACTGTTCTCCCACCGCCGAGAACAAAGCGAAGGCTCAGCTGCACCACTCACAGCAGCACAAAAGGATTTTAGGAGAACCAAGTCATTGCAAACACATTCCCAAAGAGCTGAAGCCCTCCTATTTTTGTTTGTTTGTTTGTTTTTGAGGAACATGTGCTGTCGTCTACAATCTTAAGAGGCTGCAAGCAGCTTTTGCCACCTCCCAACACCGTGACACGCACCTATGGCCGCAGCCCCCCGGGAGAGCCTGCCCAGCCCCGGGCATCACACAGCAACGCACTCACTCGCGCCACAAGACACATCTTTACTTACAGACTGGTGTTCAGCCAGTTCTCCAAGGCTGACACACCTCACCAGGGGGGCACAACCCCCCTGCCAGACCCCGCTTCACAGCCATCACTACAAAGAGGCTGGAGAAGCACTCGGCTTGGCGTGTGCCCCAAGCAGCCCGAAGGCGAGTACCCCGCTTTCGGTGGAAAGGAGGGGAGGGAAGAGGCAGTCACGGGGCTGGAGGTGACAGTGCAAGCAATGGGGTGTTCACACTTCAGAAGTAATCGCTTATAGTTTCATTTACCTTCATTTCTGCTGAGCTCGATGTCGGCAAACAAGCCGATCTTAATGATCTGCCAGAGAAGCCCAAGGACCAGGTGGGGTTTCCCTTCCCTCAAGTCCTCTGCACCAATATTGACAACATGACACCCGATGGCGGATGCGGAATTCAACGCCAGGTTCAGGTTCTCCTGCGAACAGCACAGCCGAGTGAGAGACAGCCAGGGGAGATGCTGCTTCGCCTTTCATCCAGCGCCAGCAGAGAGGAGATTCCCCCCTCGTCCTTGCTGCGATGGCAGCAGCTCGGAGGAAACGCTCCCGGCTGCTGAAGTTTTTACGGAGCTGCGGTGGCAGCAGGTTGAATCAATAAGAACTGAACGAGGCACCAGGGTTTAATTTCAGCCTCTGGTATTTAGTTTCAGCCTCTGAGTTAGTCTAGCGGCGTCAACACGAATAAGGCTAGAGAAGTGTTAAGTTATACGGGCACGCACACGCAGGCATCCTTGCAAAAAACACCTTGTCGTACTATGAAATGATTCACAGGTAGCCCACGTCAATAACCGTCTTGTTTTCACAAGACAGCGCTGTATATAATCACCGCAGCAATACCGGCGCACAGCTTTTCAGCCATTTTACCTGTTTTGTCATTAAGTTTGCATTTTTGACTTTTGAGCTGCACCCACAGCGCTGTCAATTATGCGCAGTACAAAACTGCCTTTAATAATTAAATGCAAATTATAAAACTTGCTCCTTGCCAGAGTTTCACCATAACGCCTCCAGCCACCGTGCCGTTTTCATTAATTCTATCTGAATATGAATTTCAGCAATAATACAGAAACATATTATACCTGAATTATGAATGGTGTGAGTTTCTTCTTGTTAATTGCTCTTTCATCAATGGTGTCCGGAACAGAAAGATTGATCATTTTGCTGGTAAGAGGAAAAACAGTAATATTTGAACAACGTTTAGTATTTAATCTCAACAACACTCAATGCACTGTTACAATACTCACCACAGTAGATTTCCTTTTGCCCATTTGGTTTTGTGTATTTCTTTTGTTTTTAAATCAAGGTTGTGTAAATCAGAAGTTAATATTTACGTTACCAAGAATGTATTTGTAACTAATAGCTGAGCCTGAAACCTTAAACATGCTACTGGCCACTACTGATCTCAGCCGCTGGAGCAAAAAGAGCACATGAATTATTCACAGCGCAGTCACTGAACTAGCGAAGACCCATCGCTCTGTTGACACCCACTGCAGATTCTAGTACAACCCGCTTCCTCCGATTGTAAAGGAGTCCTACTGCTGGAAGAAAAATCTGCCCCCAAAAAAGTGCAAACATTTGGAGAGCTCATCGGGGAGCACGTGAACGTGATGAATTTTTAGTCAACAGAAAACACAGCAAGTTTTTACGTTATATTATGAAGGACTTCCTACTCAGTTCAGTCTTCGCCTGAAGACCTGAATGACTTGAAACTGGGGGGAAAAAAGAAAAAAGAAAAGAATCACAAGCTAAAGAAAAAAAAAAAAGAAATGAAAGGCAATGGGCAGCCCACTCAACATTTTTTATGTATTGATACTGAAATTCCAGGCTGATCCAGTTCTCCCCTATATTAATTCACTTACATTTAAAAAACAAACCAAAACCACAAAGCCAAAAGAAACCCCCCACACAGAAGGAGGTTGGTGTTCAGCAGCCCTGGATGCCTTCCATTTGCAGCATGCAGCAAAGTAAGTTACTTTACTAACTTAGTGCAGCTATTCTCAAAAGCAACAAGAGGATTCCTCGCAAATTAATTTTGGGGTTAATTCATAAGGTCACTAACATTCCCACAGAGGTTCCCGTTTGCCTAAACATCCAAGAAAAAGAGCTATTTAGCACACCTGCCCTCCCCCAAGCTATCTAGCATCAGTCTCAATTTGCACCAGGACAAGTTGGCTCCCACAAAGGCACCTTCTTCCCTTCAGCCAACTCAGTCTCAAGCCCAAACAAAAATACCTGCTTGTGAAGTCGGCATCAAAGCCGAAGCACCGCGCAATGACAACGAAAGCCTGGGTGACTGAGCCACTTTTTATACATGCAAAACATTATGCACACACCCTAGTCACAAAAACAGCGTAGAATAGGATGAAAATTCCCCTAACTACAATTTGGGGAAGTTATTTTGGTGATTTTTTTAATCTTTTTTTTTTTTTTTAAATTCAGGAGCCACCATGACTTACCATAGCACAATCCCATCTCCCACAGCTTTGAACAGGTCATCTGTATTTGGGTTCATTGGAATAACGTGCCTGCAGTCGGGATCATTTTCCAGAGCTTTGTTTATCCAGTTTACAAAGGCATATTTTTCTTCCTCTAAGATAAACAATTGTAAATTAAATACAGGCTTTTTCACAAAGATTTTCCCAAAAGAACCAGTGTACAATAGCCCAGGGAAATAAAAGCTGCCCCACTATCATTACCACGCTATTTTATTAGTCACACAAAGTTGAAAGAAATATGACTTTCACTTCCAATTACTAGAATATTCCTGTTATTTACTCATTACTCAACTTTATTATATTCAAGTGCGACACAAGGACTTCATCAGCAAGCACAGTTAACAAATAAGCACACATTTAATTTACACACTGCTAATCAGACATCACCCTCTAATTCTGTCCTGCTCTCACCTTGACCTGAGATCATTCAGCTAAAGGAGAACAAAAGCACAGCACAGGGCAGGGCAGGAGAAATCCGCTGTTTTGGGGATACGGCCTCCCCTTAGGTGTGAGAGGGGTGGAAGGGCAGAGCGATACCTGAGTAGGAGTGCTGCGTCCCCTCACTGGAGAGCTCCGAGGTTCCCCCGATGGCACAGATTCCTTCCTTCCTGTTAATGGCTTTTCGGAATGTTTTAGCGATATCGCTGCTTTTCACCTCTTGGAAAATCTACAATTTAAAGTGCTCTGTTAGGCAAGAAAAAACTTGTCTTCGTCAAATGAAAGGGCCACAGAAGAAGCAACTTCCTCTGGGCTGTAAAGCAGATTTTGTAGTAAGATCAGCAAATGTGAAGGGCACAGCCAGGGTGTAGTGGCATCAAATTTAACACGGAGAGTGGGCAGAGAGCTGTCCCACTCTCTCAAACACATACTGCACGTGCCTACTGAAACAGAAGCATTAGGCATGAAGTACCTCACGTACATTTACCTTTCTGAGTAGATTTCAAGAAGCCAGGAGAAAAAAAATAAAGGTGAAACCTTTGCAGTCTGGGAGCAGGTACACATGCAGCGGTTTCCGTGGGACCAAAATTGAGAAAGCTCTTGTGCCATTTTAACTTTTCCGCGTAAGCCAGACACCCGTGTGACTGTGACTTTTCGTTCACACAACAGACATTGTCCACAACCCAAGAAACAATTCTCTTGAAGTGTGTAACAGTCAAACCCCCAACAATGTGTAACAGCGAGCGCTCCAGGTAAGGACTCCCCCGTCCCCAAGAGCAGGCTTGAGCAAACTAACAAAACACCCTCACATTTGAGGGCAGAAGAGATGCTGTAGCGCAGAAAGATGACACGTGCCACCTGCGCAGGTTGTGAGTTCCTATTAGTGGCTCGGAGGTCCTACAGAACTGAGCAGCTATTAGAAAAAAACCACATCCAATGGCTTGAAAGCCTACTGTAACTCCCTCAAAACTTAACCAAATTACATTCACGTTGAAACCATGTTCAAAACACAAGTGAAACGTACACAGGTTCTCCAATCACTGCCCAGAAAAAGGCAATGAAACAGCACTGTAAAGCAAAGCGCTTCTTTTAAAAAGAGAGGAGGGGACTTGCCCAGCTGGCTGTAGAGGTGTCACTGCGGGGCCAGCCTTACCTTCCCCACCCCTTCCACACAAGTCAAATCCAGGATGCAGGGCAGTTAAAGCATCTCCTGATGGCACGCAGAGGTTTTGCTCACCCCAGCAATCAGGTAGAGCTGAGCGAAGACTCAAGAGCCCAAAAGTTTTGGGTTTTCTGGTTGGTTGGTTTTAAGCATAAGGATTTTTGATTCAGATTTATTTATTTTAAAATTTGCTGGACTAATTACTGGTATTGCGTAGCTTCTTTGAAACTACATGCTTTAATGTTGAGGTACCACTAAGTCAGTTGGCCCCAACCTCAAGTCAGTGTTCATGTCATCCTTTGCACCACAAACTCCAGCAAAAGTGCTCAGAGGCTGAAAAACAGCAACAGTTCTGTTCGTAAAACTCCTTCAACTACCATAGCTTAGCTGCCTGTAAGACATCTTGTGTTTACTCGATCACTGGTACCATTCAAATGTGACAGAAGAGATCTATGTCTTCCTTCCTAGTGCAAAGTTAGAGTTATGGACCAGCTCAAACCACCAGCTGAAACATGCACCCAAGCATGCAAGTGTTCACAAACTGCAAACGAACTCCAACTTACTAGTTGGCTCCGAACTCAAAAAGTTCAGAGGGTCTGAAAACAATTAAGGAACAGAAGGTCAAAATAAATTAAGAAATATCAAGAAAAATAGTAGGCATAGAAACAGCTCCCTCAATGTAGTGCACATACTTTTATTACTCTTTCGGCATTCAGTCATCAGAGCATGGAAAGGATGAAGGGATGGATATTGAACCAGTATCTCGGAATAAGTATTGTGCCTTTGTAAAAATAAAATAATAAAAAAATTCTGACCTATTTCTACAGAAAAGGGCTGAAGGGTAGATCCATCCTCCAGCTTCTCCTATCTCCTTACTCCTGTTCTTCCATTTTAAGGCAACAAACGATCTGAATTTTCCTAGATCAGCATCTAATCTCCAAGTGTGTCTTGAAATGCCCTCTCAAATCTTTAGCAAACACTCATAGCCCCATTAAATTGAGAAAGGAAATTATACTGCTTCATTGGGAAAAACATTCATCTATGTACCTGGAAAAACTGAGTCACTTCCAGCCAATACTGTAAGCTTGGAGAACTGGAAGTCACCAGTTGTCACCTCATGTGGAAATGGTCTTTTGGCCTCCAACAAAGTTTTCATATAGGAAAAGCATGTGGATTCTTTTGGGGTTTTTGTTGAAAAAACGACTTATTTCCCCTCTGTCCAAATTTAAACTCTGGCAGTGGCCGCACAAAAGATTGGTCATATGCAGAGATCTGTGCAAAGAACTGATTTTTACCTGGCAAGTCCTCAAAAGTGATCAGTTTGTAGAAAGCAAAACAGGATTAGGGTAAGCGGCTGAGAAGCCACCTCGTCTACCCCCTCTTCCTTAGCTTTGTCTAAAAGGGGTCCCCCAGCCTGCTGGAAATTCAGAAGTATCACTTACATAGACGAACTCTTCAAAACTAATCTTCCCATCTTTATTCTTGTCGCTGTCGATCATGAGCTTCTGGATAATCTCTCTCACTTTGTACCCAGGGAGAGGCAGGTTGGCTTCCTTGAAGAGCTCATGCAACTCATAGTCGCAGATGAACCCGTTGCTGTTGAGGTCTGAGGAAGAGAAGGGACAGGAGAAGGTTTTAGAAAAGTGCCAGTAACCCTGACAGGACCAGACCCAGACAGCAGGGCAGAAACACAGCCCCCATGCTCAAAAGTGCTTTACGGAGAGCGACCTGTGCACTGGGGACACCTACAAGACACAGAGGAATCTCCTAGCATAGCCCGTCACAGCATACCTGTTTTGGGGCCACATTGTGCGGATGTGACTGTGTGCTCCCCTGCTCCCCAGGCGCCAACCGGACCTTTATCTCCTGTAACCCTGCCCAAGCGATAACCACCCGTAGTGGTGACAAGGGGGCATCTAATCATGATGGCAGCACCCGGGGCTCAAAGGTGGTTTTGGGGAGACAGGTAACAATACAATAGCCAAGGGCTGACCTGAGCAATGCTGGTACTGTGGTCAATATGCAAATATGACTATAGGTCAATCATCTCACCCCTATAAATAGTGAAGAGCCCTTTGAGCTCTCCTGCATGGCAGCGGGCTGCACGCCAGGATCTCCCCTTGAGTAGCGATGCCCTCAAGGTTACTTCTCAAGATTCAGAGATTCCTTGCTACAACAGACCCTCAGTAAGTGACTAATAACATGCTAAACTTTGAAATCTTAGCTAAGTGATACAAAAGTTTGATTGTGCATATATAATTCTTTAGACATAAACTGTCGATCAAGTCTGGGACTAGGAGCAGATCCAGCTACACCCAGACTCCTCTCCGAGTAGGAGTTTGGAAAGCCAGGGGGTCCTTTCTGAACCTCCACTGAACAGGAGGGTCTCCCTGGCAGCTCTGTCTATGCAGCAAAGTGTACCAAGTGCACCTTGCCATCAAATCTTGTTAAAACAGTCACATTCACTATCAAACTTTGTTAAATCCCTGGTTTATATCAATAAATGTATCCCTGCTTCTCTCTGTGAGTGAAGTGCATCGCTCCATCCGCAACAGCGGAGTATTCGTCTTTGCTGAAAGCAAGATCCATGCAGGACACGGACACATAGCAGGGTGCCCACACCGAAAATATCAAGCCCAAGTAGTACAGTATTCAATGTACATCACTATCGGGAACCAAAGGTACACGGTAAATACAGAAGGCACATCCTCAGAGAGAGTCCCAGCACAAGCCTTAAGATCTCTCTGGCTTTGCTTTGGGCAACAGCAGCTTCGAAGCAGAGCCGACCAGGATGGCTCTCGGCACACACTACCAAGCCCAGTGTAAAAGTTTCACAACAGACTATCTGCATTTTCATAAATGATCTCCAGAGCGTTTCTTTTTACATCTAACTGCAGCTGGCTTTGCGTGTTAAAAATAGACAGTAATGAAAGACAGCACTTCTTACTTTCTGAACTGAAAACCCCAAGTCAGCTCTGCATTTACATTTTTTTATCATGCTGATAATGATGTTATCCATTTATTGCTGACAGAAAACTGCAGCCAGATATTTCAGTGCTGCTCAAGAATGCTCTGCAAGGACATTTGTCCTGACAGTCAATCACCAAGTCACAGCAGCACTGCACGCTTAGTGAGACGTTATTGCCTACTAGATCTGGGAAAAAAGAAAACAAGAACCTAGTGTTAATCTGGAGCTTTTCACATCAATAGATCCCAACCCCTTTGAGGACATCATCACATCTATTGACTGCACAAGGCAAATCCAGCAGCCCTAGTCTGTTTTCAGGCAAGCGAGGTTCTGCTGCCACCATGGACAGGCAGAGGTTGGGCATCTCCTTCCCCGGGCCAAGCAGGGACGAGAAGACAGCATGGTTCACTGTGCGGCTGGTAGTCAGCCTTCAGCAGAGTCGGGTCCATGAACAGCCAGAGCACTTGAAGCAGTGGATGGCCCAGATTCACATCCCAAGACATAAGCATGACCCTCCAGCATGCTCAGAGAGACAGGGATTCCGGGCATGTTGTGGTCTTGCCGGCTCAGTGCTGATGTTAAGATCCCTTTGCTGTAGGCAAGTGGTACAGACAGCCCAGGGAAGTCAATTCCATGCCTGAGCTGCCACCTCCTCCCCAGGGCTGGGGCCGTGGGGAGATACAACCCCAGATTGCTGCTGCTGGTGGGGAACACCCAGATAGGCGGTGGAGATTCGGCAGTCTCCTACGATCGCCGTTCAACCACAGGCTCTGCAAAGGTAGAGTGCCAGTAGTGAAGACATCAGCCGAGCCCTTAAAGGCTAAACAAGAGCAGTCTCAGTGTTTAAGCAGCAGCGTTACCTTCTCCCCCACCTCCAGAGCTCCCGGCGTCACGATGGTGCACGGCCGAGTGCAGCTCCACTGCCGGCTGCCAAAACCACACCGAGCTGCAAGGCACCCAGCCCCGTTCTGCCCATATCCCCCCCACCGGAGGATTTTTCTGCTATGTATGAGGCAGCAACTTCTCCCCAAGGCCACCGAGTTAAATTCCACTCAAGGAACAGCTTCTGCTGCCCAAACAGCCCGGCAGCCCGCAGGCTGTGCCGGTTCCCCAGGCTGTGCCATGGGAGAGCTGCACCAGCCCCAGTATTTGCTTTTGTCCCAAGAGGGAATCCCACACCACAGCCACTGGGGTCAGTATTTATGCTTAAAGGGAGATACTGTCAAGAGTAAAAGAAAACAATCAGGACAGCTCTAAAGTCTGGGGGTTTTTAGCAAATTTTGGAAGTCAATTTACTTCTAATGAGGTGTCAGTGGTGGCTTTTAGGTTTTATTTCACAGCAAGCAGCATGTCCTCACCACAACCCCAACCTGCCTAATTTTCCAGATCCATATGGGATTTTAAAATTCTTTTTATAAGTTAGCAAGAAAGTGAAATTCAAATGTTTAGCGGCAAACATCCAAAGTAACACAGAGCAAACCTGTACTCCCTCCTACACCCCAGTCCCTAGGTCTCAAACTAAAGAGGAGCATCAATTCCAGTGGATTAATAAATACAATAAACTATTTTATGAAATGTCAGGGTTTACAATAATGCTGATGAAATAAAGTGGTTTGGGTCACTGGTAGCAACAGGCTGCTGTCTGGCCTTCAATTTTAGAACTTTATTCCAAAAAAATATAAACTTACAAAGGCAAGCGTTATTAAAGAGTCCAGCCCAAGATGTCATCAGCAAACTATTTCCCCTCTAGATAAATCACAGCTTATTTTGTTACAGTTTTCTTATTACTAAATCTAACTCCGCAACGTGCGCCTATTCCCTGCATCACAGCCAGTGAAGAAAACCAGACAAGAAGGGATTTGCTGATCTCCAGGGCCTACGGACCCACAACAAAACTCTGCTGTCACCCTCAGCGTGCCTACAGCCAACACCCATCACTTTAGCCTGTGCCTAGCTGAACCCACCACAACCATGCTGCCATGCTGCCAAATTACACAGGTAAATCCAGAGACACCTGTTCATCACTTCTTTCAATCAATCCTCCACCTAAAGACCTAAGTTTTACATCTACCCAAATGTTAGTAGGCAAAGGGCAGAGAACAGTAAGACTTCAAAATATTGTATCCTTGATAGGACCACAGGTGTGATTTTGATTCAGATTTGGTAAAGGTTTTCCTCTCGACATGTCTAGCTTAAGCTTCCAGAAGTGTTTCTGAACCAGGCTTGCATGTGCCGTGTCTGAGCCTGTTCAGAAGTGAAAGGGAAAAACACGATATACGGCATTTAACGAGGCAGAAGCCTGTTGGGTGAGACAGCAGGGAACTGAGCTCCAAAGTCCCCAGCTCCAACAGACTGGAGAGACGCATGTGTAAAAGGATGCTTAAATCTGTCTAGAGCTCAGTTCTACATACAAAGCCCTGCATGTCTTTTAAGGGTATGATCTAGTTCAAGGAATTGAACTAGGACCCCAGCCTTGCATTTACATTGGTTTGCTTGCAGAACAGAAACTGTAACTTAAAAATGCTGATTGAAATGCAACAGAGGAGTTAGCCCAGGGCATTGCCTGGTCCATCCACACTTGCTCAGCAGACCTCAACCTCAATCTGAAAGCATCAAACCTGGCTGCAGGGCAGGTATCAGGAATTTGCCACAGTCTGGGGCAACTTCTGCCTATTTTGATGGTTTCTTCCACCCCTGCAAAGCAGCATCTTCCCAGTCTTCTGAGGGTGCCTAGTTCAAAGCAGATTCACCTCTGCTGACTGAAATTAGAAAAAAAAAAAAGTTAGCAGCTCTGCAGCACAAAGAGCCACCTGAAATGCACACTCACAGTGAGCACATGCGGCCAGGGAGTGCGGCACCAGGAAAGATGCTGCCCGTCAGGAGGAGGCGCTTGCCAGAGGCTCCCAGCACCTGCACTGGGCTCAGATGGACAGCACAGCATCAAGTGTGAAGGACACACTGTGGACTAATGCACCTTAACTCACTCCAAACCCGCTCTGAGGGTGGTGAGGCATTGGAACAAATTGCCCTGGGACGTAGTAGCTGCCCCATCCCTGGAGGTGTTCAAGGCCAGGTTGAACGGGGCTTGGAGCAACCTGGGCTGGTGGGAGGTGTCCCTGCCCAGGGCAGGGGGGTTGGGACTGGATGGTCTTTAAGGTCCCTTCCAACCTAAACCATTATATGACTCTATGAAAACCCCTGGGTCTCAGGACATAAGTTCTTCCAACTCTTAACGACATCCCAAACACCCACCTGTAAGAGTTACTCTTCCATAGCGTCCTGGGAAAAAAAATTAACCACAGATTTACTTCATCAATTAAAAGGGCATCTATGTCCCAGGCACTTTGGGAATGGGATTTACGAGCACGACCACTCTTGGTTCAACTGCAAGACCCCACATCAAGCTACTGGTTTTGCAGTAAAGATGCTCTCATTTCAAGTTTTACCTTCTTGGCCCCAGAAGGGCAGATTTCAGCGTTAAAGCCTGGTGGATGTGCTAGCCCATAGTTTTGGCTTGGCAGCAGAGTCGAGTAATTTTAATTAGTGATGGACTAAGTGGTGGAATACAGATCCATTCTTCTCTTAACATGTCAAAAAGCCTTTAGCCCTGTAAACATGACAAATAGCACTGAGGCCCCTATCCCACAGGGCAGCTGCTTCCCTTCCCGCTGTCTCTGTTCCCTTCTGGCATCACAGTCAAATGTACAAAGTAGCAGCATTACAAAAAAACAAAAAACAAAAACACAACAAAAAAGCAGTCACCTTTGCAGCACCAGCAAGTTTCATAATCACTTCCAGCATTACTGCAGACCCACCATATGGTGCCTTGCTGGATGTCCTGCAACAGGGCCAGACTTCAGACAGAAGGTGGTCTGAAGGCCCTCTCTAACAAAATCCGAAATGGTATTCAACAGCCGAAGAGGCTGTCAAAATAGAAGCTATCCCAAATGAAATCCTTCGGCGTACAGCCCAGAATTACTAATGGAAGAAAGCAAAATTGTTTTAACAGACAAGCTACAGCCTGGATTCATTATAATCTGCCTGATGGAAAGGAAACTACAGCACGTCTGAAGTTTCCTATTTCTACTGAAAGATGCATGCCCGCCAGCATGCTCAACCCGGGAAAGGTCACTGCAGCGATGTACGGCACCATCTTCTGCCCATATGCAGGTGGCGCAGCAAAGCCACGATAAACAAAACCCAAAAGCTGCTTCAAGCTCTGGCTCAGCTTCCTCCAGACAAGTACTTAAAATAGCTTAAATAACAGGATGCAAGAGGGGAAAGTAACCCACACGTTTCCTTTTAAGGATATATGCTCGGCAGGACACACTCGAGCAGGATCACAGATCCCTATTTGCCTTAAGCTAACATTTCGGAGCATTGTTTTCCCACCTTGCAGCAGCGAACAAAGTGTTCAGCTGGGTTATGATTTTTCAGTACTTCGTGTTTCCAGAGAAGATGCTTATCTCCGCTATCAGAAGCAAGGAGAGGAAGACAAGTAAACAGAGCAAGCTTGCAGATTTTGTTCTGCCATGCCTCCCCTATGAAATGCCACTGTTTGGCCAAGTACATACACGTTCCACAGAACAAATTCAGAGATCAGCTGAGATTGGGAACAACCTGCTCATCTCCCACTAACCTGCAGGTCAGTCAAAGCCTAGACTATTCTCATGCCCCACTTCATTACTTTTGTCAGATGTTAAAATGCTTTTTTCCTCTGCTGCTGTTTACCACTGGGACCACTTCCAATACAAATACCTGGTTGTATGACGCTGGGAGCTGCTTCTCTGAGCTGTAGCAGACTGCAGTGCTAACCTTAAACCATGGTTTCTCCCCCGCGGACTGCTTCTAGTCCTAGTCTAGTACTGCAGGCAGTCTGTGGAACTCTCGCCTTTTGCTGGCTGTCAGAGACCAGCACACCAGCTGCGTGGGAGAGAGGGGATACCTTCAAGTGGCATGGAAGGCAAGTGGTGACAGAGTACGTAGTAACATACCTCACCACCTTCCAGCATCACCAGATGTCTCTATCCAGTCCACCTGCATACAGAAAAGCTGGTCAATCACACACCTTTAAAGTCCCATCAACCTACGGATCCAGAGCAGCACCTTGTCCCATGCCAGAGTTAAAGCAGGTCTCCAGGAAGCCCTTGCAGATGCACGTTGGAGCGGGGCATGTCTTGGTGAGCAGAAACCAACCCATGAGACGCTTCCTCCACCCCACATTTGCTTTATGACATCCTAGAAGCCAACCAGCTGAGCTTTTCTACAACCACGCTTCCTAGCTGCGTTCCAAGCTGTCCAAGTAGCTGGGAGATGACAGAAAGGCTTCATTTCAAATAGCAACCTTGGTCCAACTTCTCTTTGCATTCACTAAAGGTGGCATTAGAAGTTCCCAAGTGAAAGTCAGCCACCCAGTTAGCGACCAGTTCTATATCCCAGGGCAAATATGGCTCCTTTAGCCAAGAATAAAAGGAATAAGAGCATTAATGACACTCCTGACAGGCACGTCCCACAGCAGTGCTTGCAGGCTGTACCATGCCTAAAGCACACAAAACAGAGGGCAGCCAAAAGGGACGAGCAGATCCCATCTCACTTGTGGGTACGTCCAGGCTAATTATTACATTTCTCAATAATACCTAAGTTTTGACACTGCTTTTATAATATGAAACCAAACAGGACGCACCTCCTGAGCAGGATGAGCTGGTTTCCTAAAACAAACCAGCATTTGACTTGGCTTTTTCCAGTTTCCAGTGGAAAGCCAGCCAGCCAACCTAATCTCGATAATTCTCCCTGACACTAACAACAAAAAGCCACCACATTCCTGCCAGGTTAATCATTTTAAGTTTATCCAAGGGCGGAACGGGCTGCCTGCATCCCAGCCTTATTAAGGTTTGCACTCAGAGGCACATTTGGCAGCGAGAAGCACGATGGTCACTTGTCTCCCTCTGCGGCAGCTCGCTTTCCCCTGCTGGAAAAGTCTTGGGAAGAGCGAGACAGGAGAGGGAACTGCTTGAAATGCGTCTTGCTTCAAGTGCCAACAGTGAACACTGCTCCATGAGAATCTGTTCTTTGAAATTCATATTTCTCTCTGCCGACTGCAAATTTAGAGCAAGCGAGAGTTTTAAGAGCCACCCTGCTCTAGAGGGCAGCTTACCCGACACAGATGCGAGGCAACTACCAATTTGTATTTATAACCCATGCTCAAGACACACTGATGTCCAGTTAGGAAAATGAAGCACTGACTCTGGTCACTTGTGCAGCTCATTCCCAGTCAGTGCCAATCCCGGCTGCGGCTCCCAGCTGCATCCGCTGCCCTGCCCACACTGGTGTGGTCCAGCTCCCGTCCCACCCCTCCCTGGCATTTCGCTGATCCTCCAGTAAGCTGTATCAGGAAACTAAACTAGCAGAAAACAAATTTTCTCCATGATGTCACTTTTCTGCCCATTTCAGCTTCCTGAAGCAGCCTGCCAGAGGCTTCTGCAAGGGGGAAAGCTGGAAGGCAGGCAGAGCAGCTTGGGCTGCACAAGCCCTTGAGCATGGTAGGCTGCTAGGGAGGTGAGAACCGGAGAAGAAATAGAGCCACCAGAGGGCAATGCACATGCACCGCAGCCACAAACCATTTTATTATCGCCACAAGTTGCTCCATAACGGCCAGGTAAACAGACGCTAATTAGGTTTTGCCCCAAGCTCACCAAACGCGGTGCTTCAAATGCACCCGCACAAACCAGAAATGTAGCACCTACGTTTACCATCTGCACAGCTCAGCCAATCTGCCAAACCCATCGTCATCAGAACCGAGAACCCTGCAAGCCCTGAAGTGCTGCCTGGGCCAAAGTAATGCAATACCTGTTCGGATATTTCTTCTGCCACCAAGAGCCACAAAGCCCACCCTGGAGCAACAGGGCAAGGCTGTCTGCCAGGGCTCACCAGCAGCCCACATCCCTTCCTTTGTGCTCCTCGGCTAGAAGTGACAAGCCAGAAGCCACAAGGCTGCCAAGGGACTCCTTGGCACGGAGAAGATCACGAGAGCAGCAGACTGCCTGCGTCCGGCTGGCTCCACTGCTCGCAGGGGTGGGAGAAATCTGTTTCAAATGTACAGCAGGCAGGAGCAAGGTGCCTTCCTCACTGTGACTTACCAACTTTGGCAAAGGCCTCCTTGAGTTCCTCCAGCTCATCTTTGGAGATTTGCATGGTGTTGGCCATCTCATGAATTTAGGGAGCACCTAACAAGAGAAAAAGGAGACCATGTGAAACCCGGCTGCATTCAAAAGCATGCAGTTTTGAACAGCAGCATAGCAACAATCAGTACCAGGGTCATTACAGTTCTTGAAGCCACATTTATCTTTCCACTCAGAAAACAGATGTGTGAAACTCTGAAGATGGGAAATGCGCTCCTTAACAAGTCAAAAATCACCTTAGCCTTGTTAATATTTAGCTCTGTGTATTTATTTTATGGGCTATGCTGTTCTACACACATTAAGGTACAGGCTACCAGTGTGTTCCATAGGTCAGAAAAGCTCACATCTCCAGGGATTTTCCACAACTTTGAACAAAATCAGGATCCAAAGTTAAAATATTAATGCAAGAGATACTGAACACTCTGCCTGCCTGTCTGTCCCCCGAGAGCACACAGCTACCAAACCCAAATCTGAACAGTACCCGAAAGGTCTTTTTGCACAAAGTAGTATACCTGATACCATTTGCAAAAAGGAAATAGTTTGCTTTTCTACAAGAAAACCATTTGAATAAACACCTGCCTATTTGCCTAGAGTCAGTCTCTCAATAAACCATGGAAGCAACAGGCTGTTGGCACTGCCACTGCCCCCCTCCACCCTCCCGAGCACGGCACGGCGGGAACACCACAGGCGAGTGCAGAACAGCGGGCACCTTGCCACGCTAAACCCCGAGCATGCAGAAACTCCGCTTGGATCAGATCTGCTTGGTGTTTAAGAAACAGAGAGGATGAAGCATACAGTTCCCACACCCATCTGCTAGAATCCTCCTTTCCAAGCACTGATAAAGTGCCACCCAGACAGCCTGGACAGGAGGTGTCACCATACAGATGGAAAAAGGCCAGTGACCTGCCCACATCCCCTTCCCACGACAGTCGTGACAGCAGCATCAGATGCCCTGTTGGCACTTTGGCCAATACGACCAAGAGAGACCAGCAATTGATGAAACAGTGCAAACTGGGCAATCCTCAGTGCACCACCAGAAAGGCAGGCACTGATCAGCACGTTCTAGCACACGCTCTAGCTCAGCGTCTTTAAAAACAGGGATCTGGGCAGGCTCAGTGCAACTTCAAATGAGACTTGCATCCCAAGATTTTCCAGCTCCCACTTTGTCAGCTACAATCACTGTAGGTAGAGAAATAAGGGGTTCCTCCTCTGCCTACGGGAACAGACACAGCTGCCTCCTCCTCTGTGAGCACAGGGATGAGGGGTGCGTTCGGGTTCAGAGGCTGTCCAAAGGCAGGATCCAAAACGGGCTGGCTCTCTGCACAAGCCCCAAGAGGCTCAGTCTCACAAAATCCTGTGCTCTGATTAGCAAGCCTCTTTAGTCTGAGGCTCCCAGCTGCCTTCACAAGCATTTGTTAGCTTAAAACCCCAGGTTTGCCTGGAGCTGCAAATATTCATATTCTGTAACACTTCACTCAGCCTGGAAAGAAGGAAGGGGTTGGAGATGCCAGCGGTGAGCAGGAGTGGCAGCCTGGGAAAGCCGCTCAGGCAGGTGCTCGCAGCAGAGAAACTCAACAAGAACTTGCATCACCGCAGAGACACGGAGGAAAGCACATCAGTCCCCACCTGCCAGCATCTGCAGAGCTGCCAGCGGACACCACAAGATGTTTAACAGTCAGTAAAAGCCACCACCAGCAAGACAGCCAACTTCATCGTCAACTTCATCATTGGGCTCATACTGCAAGAATGGGGCAGGGGGAGGAATCGCTGCAAAGCTGTGTCAGATTCACAGGAGGGGGAAGCACCATAGTAAGTTTTTTATACTGTTTCACAGATTACGAGTTAGGCCAGTTGACCAAGAAAACACTGCCCTGCAGGTTCCTTGAAGATCATAAAATGGTTAAGAGTTGGAAGGGACCTTAAAGACTATCCAGTCCCACCCCCACCTCCCACCAGCCCGGGTTGCTCCAAGCCCCGTCCAACCTGGCCTTGAACACCTCCAGGGATGGGGCAGCCACAGCTTCTCGGGGCAACCTGCCCCAGGGGATCACCACCCGCACAGGGAAACATTTCTTCCTAATGTCTAATCTGAGTTTCCCCTCTTTCAGTTTAAAACTGTTCTCCCTCATCCTGTGGCTCCTCTCCCTGATGCAGAGTCCCTCCCCAGCTCTCCTGGAGCCCCTTTAGGCACTGGAAGGGGCTCTAAGGTCTCCCCGGAGCCTTCTTTTCTCCAGGCTGAACCCCCCCTCCCTCTGCCTGTCCCAGCAGAGGGGCTCCAGCCCTCGCAGCATCTTTGTGGCCTCCTCTGGCCCCACTCCAACACGTCGATGTCCTTCTGATGTTGAGGACTCCAGAGCTGGATGCAATTTTTCAAGTGGGGTCTCAGGAGAGCGGAACAGAAGGGCAGAATCCCCTCCCTTGCCCTGCTGGCCATGCTGCTGGGGATGCAGCCCAGACACAGGAGCGCTGTGTGCAGCACTGGCTGTCTTTGCAGGATACGCAGTCCGGGACCTGCCGCCTCCCTGCAGCACTCCCCCAGCCGCCCCGGCACCCCGCGCCTCAGTGCCACCAAAACCTGGCTGGTTTCCAGGGGATAAAGGAGTCACTCAGCAAGAAAGTCAGCTCTGAGCAACCTCAGTGCACGCTACAGGAGGTGGATTTCACAACTGGCAGAAACACCTGGGGAATGCTATGGGGAACAGCCCGTTTTGGCAGCGCAGGCAGCACAAGCTGGCAGGCAGGAGAGGCCGAGCTAGGGACTAACAATTCAACCACCCGTCCTTCACAAGGTCTGCCTTCTTCCCAATCCTTGTCTTCACCAATTCAAACTAGGATTTCCCTTGAAGAGGGATCTCCAACAGCATCATTATCTAACCACTTCATTGGAATTTAATTTGCTGCTGACTATCTCCAACATCTTTAACACCAGAACAAGCAGCAAACGCCACCATAAGCCAAGAGCATTTTAAAAAGCTGCTCTGTTTGACTTTTTTTCAGGGAAATACCACGCTGTGGATATGCCCTGCAGTTGTTTGCGTGGGTCTTCACTTAAAACAAAAATTCCCCTTCTGGCCCCTATGCTGTTCAGCTCCATCAGTAAGTCTACAAAACAGGTTTACTTCTCAGTTTTCGTACCGCTTCTTCCTCCTGTTTCTCTGCTTGAGAGGAGAGAGGGAGAATCTGAACAAACAGATTAAAACATCTGACCTTGTTATAGTTGTCTGGGAAGGGGAAAGTATGTTACGATATAACAAAACGGTATAGTAAAAGGTTATTGCGCCACCCAGTTACAAGTTGACAGGGACTGTTTAGTTCTCAAAGCAATTTTACAGAGTTTTTTTTGCAGTGGAGAGGTATTACACCAACATTGGCACACTGGGCTGGGGGGCAGGGGAGCTGTTCAGTTTTTTCTTGTGTGGGTTTTTTTTTTTGATTGTTTGTTTTTAATAGCTGAGTCTAGGGCATTCAGAATCACCCTTTTCATTCAGTTGCATTTTTAAACAAGAGGCTTTGTCTTCAGGGACATAATAAGTCCTTTTACAGCCCTGGCATAGGGATCACGCATCAGCTGGCTCACTCGCCGCCTGCGGGGCCGCAGCTCCACGCTGCCCATGGCACACTCGCAACCACTGTGGGCAAAACCTCTGCCAGGGCACGCCACCACAGCTGGAGACAAACCCACCTTTAAAGACCCACTTTAGAGGGAGGGAGAGATAACGAAGCTGGTATTGCAGCCCCCACCTGGAACACTGCATCCAGCTTTGGAGTTCTCAGCACAAGAAGGACATGGACCTGTTGGAGGGGGGCCAGAGGAGGCCCCAGAGATGCTGTGAGGGGTGGAGCCCCTCTGCTGGGAGGACAGGCTGGGAGAGTTGGGGGGGTTCAGCCTGGAGAAGAGAAGGCTCCAGGGAGACCTCAGAGCCCCTTCCAGTGCCTAAAGGGGCTCCAGGAGAGCTGGGGAGGGACTCTGATCTGTGAGGGGAGCCATAGGACGAGGGGGATCGGTTTTAAACTGTAAAAGGGGAGATTTAGACTAGATATTAGGAGGAAATCCTTTGCTGTGCAGGTGGTGAGCCCCTGGGGCAGGTTGCCCCGAGAAGCTGTGGCTGCCCCATCCCTGGAGGTGTTCAAGGCCAGGTTGGAAGGGGCTTGGAGCAACCTGGGCTGGAGGGAGGTGTCCCTGCCCAGGGCAGGAGGGGGGAATGGAATGATCTCCAAGGTCCCTTCCAACCTAAACCATTCTATGAAAAGCGGAGACAGCAGCGAGCTAGTGATCCCACACCCATTTTACACCCTGGTGACAGATGGCCCATCGCTTGATGCACACATAAACAGAGCGTATAAGGATGCAACTCCTGCTCCAGATCCCTCTGGCTTCTGCCTTCATCCCTCACACCATAGAAGAAAAGCGCAGGCAGCAGACAGACGCACAGGAAATCATGGCAGGCAGACAGCGCAGCCCCTTTCTGTCCTCTGGAGACTTTGCTTTGTGCTGCTGCTGTAAGCGCATCCCCGGTTTTCAGATAACAACTCCCTTCCAGAGAGGGGTTGTATAAAGTTTCTGTGCAAACAAGTTTTATAGCTTCTAAGCACGCTGCCGTCACTGAGCAGGGGTTAGTTTATTTGCTCTCCAGACAGAACTGCAATACGGGCAGGTCAAGTACAGCTGCCCCCGCCCTGTCAGCCAGCTGGGGACAGGCCATGCAGCGGGGACCATCACCGACACCGCAGGGATAACGCCACCGCCGCCCTCAGCACTTCCAGCACAACTGCCAGACGCTAACCAGCACATTTGGGTGGATTAACTGCTCAGACAGCTACTTAAAAACACTCAAGCCCTGAGAAAACGTCCCCAAGAGGGGAGGCCCAGAGAGCTGCGTCCTGCACAGGCCTGGTGGGACACGGCGGGGCGGGGGGAGGAAAGGAGCATCCAGGCATTTGCGTATTGCCTTGAAAGCCAGAGGATTAATTCAATTTTTGAAAGCGCATGGCAACCAAATATTTCCTGACAGCCACTTGAACGCATCCAACAGAAACAGAGCTGG